CAAATCTCTCCTTGAGTTTAATTTCGCTCATACTTAGTTTTTATTCCACTGCTCCACACTTCCTTGGCATTGGTAAAACTAATGATCCTTTCAATAAATTCCGAGCGAATGAAGCTAAATGACCTCCAGATATAATTTTGCCAATTGCTTTTCTGCTTCATCCTTTTCGGTCTTCAGGAAAATGTGAAATTATCCGCCGCCTGTGTAGATTTTCAATTCACCTACCAGGAATCTTCCACGATTCGCCAGTACCCGTGCAGGGTGTGCGCTAGGGGACGGAGAACTTTCCACACCGAAACGTGGCAATATCGAATAGGGCATCAAGATGTCTTGAGAGTCGTCAGCTGCACCAGTGGTAAGAAAGATGATGATGAAACAAGAGCTGATCAAGTATCAAAGATTAGAATAATAATCTTTTCATCACTGCAAAAAAGCGTGACCTGAGAGTATGGTGGTGCATTAGCTAGCCACGTTCAACCGCGCCCTCGCTCCACGCTCACTGCCCACAATTTGCACCTTTCACACATATTTGCTTAAATTTAGCTGCAAGCGTAGATTGCATTTATCGCTTTTCCATTTTTCAGGATTAACTCCCACCATTGGCGTATTTTGTTCCCGAAAAAAACAAAACAGCAGAAGAGGAGGCCACTTGTCTGCCAGCCCCCGTGCGATCCAGAATAACATTTTTTTAAAACAAAAATTTTCATGTGCGCGAGAAGAATCTTTTATTATTAATCACAAAATCACGGTGTGACTGTAAATGTCCGTCTAAAATAATACCGTAACTGTTGGACCCGTCCGCATCATCGGTACCCTTGTTCGGTTCAAGGACTTCACCGTCCAAGCCGTGCGCCATCACACAAAATTAGCAAATAAACCGGATAAAATTAAAATCCTGAAAACCGAGAAAAACTGCCTAGGCTTTTTTCTTAAATAAGTGCTCAGAACGAAAAAGCAATAAATAATTCGACAGCACGCCGGTGCGAAAATGAGTTTGAAAATGAGTTTTTCGCACAGTTTCCTCGCAGGTCTTTGTCGCTAACGGATACTGGTTTTTCCGCAGATGCTTAGCTAAAAGAATTAATTAGCCACTAGAATTGTTAGAAGCCACAGAATGCTTATCCAAAAAATTTAGCACTCTAATTGCTTCGATCGCGGAGTTACATCAAATTTCACGTGCTTGTACGTGAAAGAAATATTAATGTTGTTTTCACGTATGCCTGCCAAAACACGGTCTTGGGCTATGTTCAGGGAATTTTAGCACCCCGGCTGCTTTGGTTGTGGAGTTGCATCAAAAAACACGCGTTCGCACGTGACGGAAACGGGGCTGCAACAAAACACGTTCAAGAGCCAATCTCCGAATATTTCGGCAGTGTAGCTGCACTGGCTGCAGGGTTACGTCAAATTCCACGTGCACGTGTGTGAGAGGAAACGTGAAAGTTTTTTACGTGTGCTTGCGCAAACATGGCCGTGAGAGATGCTCAGGAAATTTTAGCACTATGTCTGTCTTGGCTACGGGGTTACATCAATTTCTACGTGATTGTGCTTGAGGGGCAGAGTGAATGTTGTTTTTAGGTGTCCCTAGACGTGGGCGTCCATTATGAGGGCAGGAGCCCGCACATGGGCGTAGATTAAGCTATCAAAGTTCCAACCTTGTCACTTTTGTAGGTCTCAAGATGAAAACTCGCTAAAGACGCACACACAGACATGCAGACAAACAGACACACACAGACAACCCTCGACAATGCGCATTTTTGCACTGCATGGATGCAGAAAAACGCATAACAACAGAGAGCTAAATATGGGAAATCATCATCAGCGATTCCCAGGCCGTGGAAAAACGAGTACGGGTGTGGGGTTAGAATGTTTGTTCGTGTGTGTGTGTGTGTGTGTATGTGTATGTATGTATGTATGTATGCACGGGGAGAGGTAGATCGGCTTCTTTTTTCCACACAACCGCATGTGGTAATTAGTGAAAATTGTCTTCTACATAGTGCTGTAAAGAAATTGGGATGAGC